ATTGGCTATACAGCCCTCGCACGGTCGGTATCGCATTACATAGTCCCCTACCGGTAAAACATTAATTGTACTGGAACAAAATGCTAACTTGATCTATAACTTGTCATGGTGTAAATTATTTAACAAATAATAATCAAGTCAATATCTTCAAGCATGACAAAAGAAGTGTGGAAAACTGATTATTTGAGTGAAATTTCTATGTCCAAGGACCATAACTCTGCACAAAATCATCAGACCAAAACAAAATTCTAACTTGATCTGTAACTTGTCATAATAAAACTAATATACCAATTATCAAATCAATATCTTCAAACATCAGGTAAAAAAGTGCGGAAAACTGAGTATTTGAGTGAATTTTCTAAGTCCAAGGACCATAACACTGCCCAAAATCATCAGACTGGAACAAAAATTGAACTTGATCTGTAACTTGTCGTGATAAAACTATATACCTATCATTAAATCAATATCTTCACGCATGACGAAAAAAAGTGCAGAAAACTGATTATTTGAGTGAATTTGCTACGTTCAAGGACCACAACTCTGAACAAAATCATCAGACCGGAACAAAATTCGAACGTGATCTGTAACTCGTTATGATTAAACTATATACCAAATATCAATTCAATATCTTCAAGCAGGAAGAAAAAAAGTGTGGAAAAAAAATTTGCCGGACTGAGACGGACAGAGTGCAAACCTAAAGTCCCCTTCGACTTCGTCGGTAGGGGACTAATAACCAAGACATCTCGAGGTCAGACTTGTGTTTTCACACCTTAAAATTGGCGTAGTAGGTTGAAAAGTTGGGGCAGGAACAAACTCCTGAAAGTGATAAGCAAAACGAAACATACATCTATAGTCTCGAAGTAAGTTGGTGTGCTCTTTCGGTTGTCTTTTTTTTAAAGAGGGAGGGGGTGCAATTTTCCAGGAAGTAAAATGGTTCTGTAGAAAAACTAGCATTAGGATATCCTTAGGTGTCTGAATATCGCCACCTACACGACAATTAAAAAGCCCTGGACTATGGACGATAAATCAGAAAATTTTCAATTTCGAGTTTTCATCAATCCAAGCATTCTGGAGATTATAGTGTGTGATTTGTGAAAAATAGTTTAATTTTTCAGGGATGAAGTACCCATAAGTACGGAATGACAGCAGTGAGTATCATAACAATTGAAAGGGAGCTTTATCAATGTAATAAAATTTCTGAAATAAGTATCACAGCAGAGTTGAGTTTTAATTTGTACATTTGAGAAAATGTCAAATTTTCCATGAATTAAGTCCCATAACTCTGAAATAACGAAATTTGAAATTGTCAAAAATCAAGAGGGATTTCTTCCATCAATCCTTATGTTGTTATATCAAATTTCAGATAGTATGTGACATTACATATCTTTAACAAAATTAACTGTCGACACAGATATATGTCTCGACTATCGGCATAAAATTCAGAAAAAGACAATCTGATGGACAGCAACATTGCTTATTAATTCAGTCACTTGACTATGATCTAGTGGGCAAGGCCTGAAAATGGTCGACAAACTGAGATGTACAGACAGTAATGTAACTTTATAGAAAAATATCGTTGTTTATTGCAAGTAGTTCCCATCAATATAACTTAAGCAGAAAAACTTAACATTGAAAATTGAAAATTGGAAATTAATTCAAAGTCACTGGACCATGTCCCAAGGGGCAGGGCCTCAAAAAAGTCATCAAACTGATGTGTACTAATAGTAATGCAACTTTATGCAAAACAAGTAGTTCTTATCAAGCTGACTTAAGCAGAATAAACTGTTAACACAGAGATATGTCTCGCCTATTTGTTATTTGCAAATGTTGAAATTAAAATTACAATACTTTAACATGTAAGTTATGCAAATATTCAAAGTCAATGAACCATGACTGAAGGTACAGGGCTAAACAATCTCCATCAAAATGAGATGTGCCAATGCTAATACAACTGCAAACCAAATACCATTGACTTTTCATAAGTCGTTCCCTTTAAACAAACATAAACACAAACATTAACTTGTAAACTATATAAAAGTCAATGAACCATAATTAGGGGGTGGGGTTACATGTATATAATCTCCATGGAAATGAAACTTGCAAACGCAATACATTTGCATACCGAATATCATTGACTTAACATTAGTGGTTCATCTTAAACTCACCTAATCACAAACTAATACATGTAAACTAAGCAAAAGTTTTAAAGTCAATAGACCATGACTGAGGGGGCGGGGCCAAATAATCTCCATGGTAATGAGATGTTCAAATGCTAATACAACTGCATACCAAATATCATTGACCTACCACTAGTGGTTCACCATGAACTAGACCTAATCACAAACTAATACATTGTTGACGCCACCGTCGCCGCCGCCACCGGAAACAGCATACCTATGTCTCGCTTTTCGCTTTTGGACCATGTCCTACGGGTCAGGGCCTCAAAATAGTCGTCAAACTGATAGTAATGCAACTTCATACAAAATATCATTGATCTATCACAAGTAGATCCTATCAAACTAACTTAAGCAGAAAACGTAACATTGAAAATTGCTAATTATTTCAAAGTCACTGGACTTGACTTAGGGGGCAGGGCCTCAAAATAGTCGTCAAACTGATACATGTATGTACTGATAGTAATGCAACTTCATAGTAAATATCAATGATCTATCACAAGAAGTTCCTATCAATCTAACTTAAGCAGCAAACTTAACAATTGTTGACGCCGGAGATGTCGCCATCGTCGTCGCCGGAAAAGCAATCCCTATGCCTCGCTTTCCGCGACTATCGTCGCAGACGAGACAAAAATCATTTAAGGGAGTTTACTTCAGTGCATACAATGAAATGTCTCGCTTGCTTTACTAATCATTATTGAATTATTTTGAAAGTTTAAGATAAAGGTTAAATCTGGTTAAATACATGATATGTAAACTTAATATTATCAATAATCCATGTAACTGCAGTTATAGTCAGATGGACATTTACACTTTATAATCATTCCATACACCAAATATATATAAAAGGATCAACCATTTTACTTCAAGGGGGTGGGGGGTTATGGTTTTTTGTCTGAGTCAGACCATTTTTTTTTAGTTTTTCAACGCTATCAATCAAATTATTTTTTTTCAAAATTTAACACTATAAGGTATGAGTAAAAATCTGGATTCAGAATATTATTTTTTGTCATCTGCTTGACCACAATATTTTTTTATATTTTTTTGCATCAAATTGTGGATCAGAATATTTTTTTAGGAAAAAACCATACCCCACCCCCCCTTTTGAAGTTAAAACAGAATTAACCATAAAAACTTAAAAATGATCAATGAATCACAAGGTCAAGGTCAGATGAACCCTGCCAGATGGACATGTACAATGTACACAATACAATCATCCCATATACCAAATATGGTTAACCTTTTGCTCACTGCATCAAAGCAAATGATCTAACAACAAAAAACTTAACCAATTAACCATGAAGATTAAATCCAGGTCATGTTAAACCTGTCAGACAGACATGTAGCTTTTTCAACTGATTTTGTTTATAGTTAGTACTTAAACTGTGCTGTTACACCACTGTCCCAGGTAAAGGGGGTTGTGCATCTGCAACCATGTTTAACCCCGCCACTTTTGTATGTGCATATCCCAAGTTTGAAGCCTGTAATTCATTGGTTGTTGTTTGTTGTTGTATATCATATTTGTTTTTTTGTTTGTTGATTCGTACATAAATTAGGCTGTTAGTTTTCTCCTATAGCTTGCCATGCAATCTGGGTTTTGATCATTGTTGAAGGCCATACAGTGACCTATGGTTGTTAACTTCAATGTCATTTCATCTTTGGTGGAGAATTGTCTCATTTGCAATCATACTACATCCTCTCAATTTATATATGTAGACCTAGCAAGAATCCAATACACCAAATAAAGATATTACACATAACATGTAAAAAATGCACATGATAAAATACTATGAACCATGAAAATTAGGTTTACAAATGACAATAGACATATGACAGACATAAACTTCAAAAAATTAATCATTTGAATACAAGGTACAAATGTATGAAGTACCCATGCCTTCTATCTTTTGAAATGTAAAGCTTTAAACAAATAGTTTACGCTGTCTATGTGTCTGACTCTCAATCAGGCGATTGCTCAACTCCAAACTAACAGTACATGATAAATAGATAACAAGAATGTGTCCTTAGGACACCAAACCTCACTCCAACAATTTCATTTTCAGGAAACAGTGAAATCTTGGTCAAAACCCTAATTTGGCATATACATGTATATAATATTCTATAGTGTGGTTTCTAAGGAGTTGCGATGACAAACTGTTGCAGAAGAATATATAGGCTAAAATTCTAAGTTCAAAGGGGCATAACTCCTAGAAAAAAAGTTGAATCATAATTTCCTGTTGATATGCTTATCTACATAGTATGTCCTTATCATCTACATAGTTTCATGAAATTCTGTTGTGTGGTTTCAGAGGAGTTGCGATGACAAGAACTGGACTGACGGACGGACTGGTCAAAAACATTATACCCTACGAAACATAAATATCTTAAAAGAAATATAAGTTTGAAAGCACTTACAATGTAATTTTCCATATAATAAATATTTCCTAGGGGAATAACTCTTATAAAATAGTTCATCAGAACTAATTTTGGAAACTGTCCTGGATATTGCTGATATAAGACATCTGATATAAGTTTAATAAAAATCTTGCAAGAATTGTATACATGAGAGCGCTTTCAATGCAATTTTTGATATAATCCATATTTCCCAGGAGTGGAGGACTATAACCCTTTTGACAATTTGAGAATAGTTGATTGGCACTAGTTTTCCAACTTGTCCAAGAATAATAAATTATATCAATGCTTGCAGTTACTGAAAGCAGCTCAAAGTACTTGACCTGCTGATACAAAATCATGCCACCCTAATTCAATATCGAAATTCTATACAATATCAGATGGAATGATCTTATACAATGCCAGAACAAACTATACAGAAAAAACATTTTAGTATTGCTAGGAACTATAAATTAGCAAATAAATATTTCTTCCTAAAAATATGAGGTGCTGTGATTGAACAACAGTATAATTATAACCTTTATCAATATTTCTATTAAGCCAAAGAAACAGATTTGATTTCATAATTTGTAAGCTTTTAAATAAACAAGATAACTGTAAAATCCTTAGGAGAAAATGGGGAATGTGTCCATGGGACACAGATGATGCCCCCACATGCATATAACATTATAAAGGGATATAACTCAAGAACTGTAAAATTTGTACTTGATCTGAGTGTTGTGGTAATAAGCATTGTGCATAAGTTTCATAACATTTGGTTGAGGCAAACTAAAGTAAGAGAACGGAAAAGAAAAAATTCAGCAATTTTTCCATTTGTAAAGGGGCATGACTCTAGAACGGTAAAAGTGACGCCACTAAAATTGAATCTTGATCTGTGTTTTGTGGTAATAAGCATTGTCTATAAGTTTCATAAAATTTGATTGTGGCAAACTAAAGTTAGAGAACAGAAACGAAAAAATTCAGCAATTTTTCCATTTGTAAAGGGGCATTACTCTAGAATGGTAAAAGTGATGCCACCAAAATTCAAACTTAATCTGTGTTTCATGGTAATAAGCATTGTGTATAAGTTTCATAACATTTGGTTGAGGTAAACTAATGTTAGAGAACGGAAACGAAAAATTCAGCAATTTTTCCATTTGTAAAGGGGCATAACTCTAGAACGGTAAAAGTGACGCCACCAAAATTCAAACTTAATTCTTTGTTTTGTGGTAATAAGCATTGTGTATAAGTTTCATAACATTTGGTTGAGGCAAACTAAAGTTATAGAATGGAAACCAATTTTGGGACGTACGTAAGTACAGACATACAAGGGTAAAACTTAATGCCCCCCTCCGCTACGGCGGGGGCCTAAAAATAGTAAAACATCCACTTTAATTAAATTAAATCAATTTTAAATTTCTGCACATGGAATCATATTCCACAATGATCTCTACACTTGCAATAAAATTAATTTTTTTTAGAAATCAAAATATTACATGTACTTCCATTGAAATCTTACACTTGCAAGTTATTCCTTATAAAAATGAAATGAACAACATCCCCTTTTTTGTTTTTAGATATTATACATTTGTACCAATGAGTTTAAGTTACACTTTTTAACAAGAAGCCTCCCAACAGTTTTGATGTAAACAGACAGTAGGACGATCACAACATTCTGAACATTTCTACTCTGTCAGATTTTCTCTATCCATAGCGGTTTTCAAGATAATAGACAAAATTTTCATTCTGCACCTATGTTCTTTTTTTAACCATGTCTGCCATATTGGTCGGCAGGAGGGGTCACCACACATTTTTTAAACTAGATACCTCAATGATGATTGTAGCCAAGTTTGGTTAATATGGACCAGTAGTTTTAGAGGAGAAGATTTTTGTAAAAGTAAACAGACGCTGACGGATACCAAGTGATGAGGAAAGCTCACTTGACCCGATGGGACAGTTGAGCTTAAAAGAATAACAGGAATTCCTCCAAAAAATTGGATATATAAAAATACCTGAATTTACTGTGAGCAGGTGAGTTGACAGTATATTGGAACCATTTATAACTCTGAAATTCATGTATAATGAACAGATGTGTGACACATAATGTTTCCCAATCTTTCATTGGGCCTCAATCAGCAACCACAAAACCCAGGAGTCCTGAATGGATTTAATATTAGTCTTCAGAGGATAGATGCAAAAAGAAACTTTATAAAAAATTCTCTGTGAACAAGCAAAGGACAAGACTAGACTACAATGTATTCATTCACACAGCTATATAATAATATTGGTTCAGAATTTATTTGTGTGTGCTGTTTCTTAAAATTCATTTGTTCCTTTTTTTGTTCCACTTGCAATTCCTACACTGGAATATACACACTCAACCACATATCAATTCCCAATAAGCTTTCAATCTATAAGGGCAGAACATTTACCCTATCGTTTTTATGTTAAATCTTATCAAATGTACTTCAAATTTCAAATTTATTCTGTTACACAGCTATTCTCTATCTCCAGACAGGTGATATGATGGCCTTTGCCACTGTCTGGCCTCCAGGCAGTTGTTCTGAAGGTCTCTGCCACTGTTTGACCTCCAGGCAGGTGTTATGGAGGTCTCTGCCACTGTTTGACCTCCAGGCAAGTGTTATGGAGGTCTCTGCTACTGTTTGACCTCCAGGCAGGTGTTATGGAGGTCTCTGCCACTGTTTGACCTCCAGGCAGGTGTTATGGAGGTCTCTGCCACTGTTTATACTCCAGGAAGGTGACATAAAGGCTTTTGCCACTACTCCCCAAACTATGAAAAAAATACAAACTAGCAACTATTAAAAGTTCAAATTCAGATATATTGTAATGTAGGCAAAGAAATCCTATATACATTTATACACTCAACAATCAGCCTCTTATGGGCTTCAATTTAGATCTTCAAGTACAATACATGAGAAAAATTACCATGCATTCAAAAAATAGCATGGACAGTCTTAATAAATACATGTAATGATAAAATTACATTTCAGACCAATTACATTTGCACAATTGATGTTCATCACTATACATAAATTACTCAAAATTACAGGATTCTTTCACTACTTGATAAATAGTTTCATTCAAAATTACATTAAATTTTGTCCACATCAATTTGATCTACTGCTACAGTGTTTCACCTAGAATTTTTTTGAAGGATGAGGCATGTTCTTTAAATTCAAAGCGTTATCATGGTTATAGTACAATTGCTTTAACATAGAACAAGATAATTGATTATCTAAAAGATGTGTTCAAAAAATTAATGCATGTTTGGCCAACTAGGCATTGTTCCTTTAGGGAAAACACTGCTGCATAAAATTACCATCATACACCTCATTTTCACTTTGATAAATTTAATATTAATAAAAATTACAAGCCTTTAGAAATGTTATTAAAAAAAATTTAGAATCCTCAATTCTACAATATCAATTATGTCAAACTTTTTCGCATATATTTTGTAAAAAAGTTTATCAGGTCAAGCAAGACCTTCAAGTAGCTCAGAAGTCCCCATATTCATCTTTTCATTAATTTGGGGTAAAAAAGCATTGAATTGGCATATCCTTGTTCTTTAAAATTATTATGGCATTCATAACATGTCTTCATCATTCAACATAAGGTTATAATTCAGACTAATTTTGAATGCTATGTGTCTGCATCCTATTCATATAATTCTACTGTTTACTGCTGTAAATGTTAACTTCACCTTTTGGTAAAATAGATTTTCCTACGTACTCTTAAAAGTAGAATAAAAATTTCCAGTAATTCTTATGCTATTAAGCTTCATTCAAAAAATATTAATATGACCAAAAGCTGAAATAAAGTTGTTTCAATCATAAAATTCTCATTCAAAAAATATGTATATAAAATGATAATGGAAACATGTAATTGACGAAATTGCTACTACATGTAGAATGTTTCATAAAATTTGAATCAAGGTTTTAGAAGTAAATCAGTAAATATCTTATTATTTTAATGATCAATGAGAATTACCCCAAACTATGGCCATGTACAAGAATGTACATACAAAATTGTCATTATATACAGAAACCTACCATTTGTAATCAGTTATCAATCTTATATATAATGTAATCGCTTCTCTATTTGAGATATCGCTTCTCAAATCACCTGAGATATGGTCATCAACTGAAATAAAAAGAAGAAAAATCATATTAATTTTTTGTCAACCAATTTGTAAAATTTCTGTTTGCAGGATTTTCGTATTTGGCATTTTTGCCTTTTTATTGCCTCCCTAACATAACGATGGGCTTGCACATTGCACTTTATTACTGTATGAAGGAACAGATTGTTTTGTTTTTCAATAAATGATTGTGTCTTTTTATCAATAAATGTTGTACTGTATTTAGGGTTCTGCATCACCATACTTTGTGACTGTAAAATATGTGTACATTTTATTTTATGTTTAATCAATATCTTCAATAGTAAAAAAAATTGAGTATAGATGTATAAAGTTGAAACTTAGTACAGTACTACAAATGTACTTCGAAATTATGCTTTCCTTTTGGTCATATTTCTATTCTTGTATCATGTTTTATCATGTTTAAAATACAATCTTTTGCTAGTAATACAAATATAGATCAATTTTATATTTTTCTTTAATTGCATTAAACATGTTAAAAGAAAAAACAAAATGACCTACCAAGATTTTTTCCAATAATTGTGAACTTTCACGATCAGTTCAAGGTGAACACCACACCACATGTTACATATGAAAATGCTTGGTACACCTTTACATTGATCATTTAACAAAGTTTAATTTTACAACTAGGTATCAATTAATTATAGTCATGATACTATCATGATAGTATAAAGGCAACTTTATAAATGGGGTCTAAAAGATATAGCAACATTCTTTCATGGTACATGTAGATACTACAAACATCAATTTATCTGGTCGACAACAAATTGATCATTATGACCAAACAAAGGTTGTAATTGTTGCTTTTTATTGTTGGGATGCTGTTTTATTGATGTTTGCCTCAACTATTTTTTGTCAATACATGTACCAGTTGTAACCAAACATAAATAAAATGCTCCGCTGGGGCGCAGCTTGATACGACCGCAGAGGTCGAACCCTGAACAGTTGGGGCAAGTATGGACACAACATTCAAGCTTGATACAGCACTGAATTTGGATAGTAATTAAATATTTGACACAGCATAGGTTTCTGACACAGAATGAATGTGGTCTAAGAACTTAAAAAATTTTAATTTACCTATTCAAACCATATCATTATTATTTGCTTTTATATATAAATCAGAAATAACCACTTTAAAATGGAAAATTTTAAAGAAAAAAAAGGAAATAAAAATCCCCCCCCCCCCAATTTTTTGAACCCCCTTATGATTCATCACCCCCAAACTCAATCCCAGCCTTCCCTTTGTGGTATGGTACCTTGCAGTACAATTTCAGAGAGATCCATACACTTGAACACAAGTTATTGTCTGGAAACCAGAAAAATGCTTGTTTGTTGGCCCCTTTTTGGCCCCAAATTCCTAAACGTTTAGGGCAATTACACCCAAACTCAAACCCAGCTTTCCCTTTGTGATATGGAACCTTGTAGTACTATTTCATAAAGATCCATACACTTACACACAAGTCATTGTCCTGAAATTAGAAAAATGCTTGTTTTTTGCCCCTTTTTTGGCCCCTAATTCCTAAGATTTTGAGGCAATTACCCCCAAAATCGATCCCAGCATTCCCTTTGAGGTATGGTACCTTGCGTACAATTTCAGAGAGATCCATACATTTGAACACAAGTTATTGTCTGGAAACTAGAAAAATGCTTATACATTTATATTTGGCCCCTTATTCCTAAACGTTTTGGGCAATTACCCCCAAACTCAATTCCAGAATTCCCTTTGTGATATGGAACCTTGTAGTACAATTTCAGAAAGATCCATACACCTACACACAAGTTATTGTCATGAAACTAGAAAAATGCTTGTTTTTTGCCCCTTTTTCGGCCCCTTATTCCTAAAATTTTGAGGCAATTACCCCCAAAATCAATCCCAGCATTCCCTTTGTGATATGGAACCTTGTGGTACCATGTCAGAGAGATCCATACACTAACACACAAGTGATGTCTGGAAGTTACAAAAATGCTTATTTTTGGCCCCTAATTCCTTAACTGTTGGTACCATAACCCCCAAAATCAATCCCAACCTTAAGCTTCCTTTTGTGGTATTGAACCTTATGGTAAAATTTCATAAAGATCCATTTACTTTAACTAAGTTAGAGTGCGAAAACCAATGTGTCTTCGGACGACGACGAATATGCCAACGTCATACCAATATACGACGGCAAATTTTTTTTGCGGTCGTATAAAAATCATTTTTTGAAAGAGGTGAGTTATTTATTAATGTACAATGTGCAACCCCTTTATTTCGCTAGACAAACAGATTATAATTCTAAACTTAAAAGACTGAATGCCAAACAAATCTCAACACTGTACATGTACTTTTTCATATTCAGTGTTTTTTCCTTTCATTTTTTATATATAATATGTATTGTTTATTGGGAGAGTAAACAAATACAGCTGTGAGGTCATTACAAAAAAGAAAAAAGAGTTTATTCTTTTCTTCCAAAGCAAATCCTGCAAACAGAGTTCGTGATAATAATCTATATAAAAGGATTATGCTGAGAACAGCAAAATACGACCCCAAAACTTTGATGTAGGAATATTTTGTGGAATATTTTAAGTTTATTACAAAAGTAACTGTCAAAAAAGTGTAATGCTCCACTCAGAAGGGGTAATTTGTGATTTCTTGTCCCTCAAGCTTTCATAGTTTTGAAACTGTAAGAGATATGCATATTGTTTGACATTTTCCTGTAAGCTATCACCCTAAGGAACTTATAAACCAACCAAAATGGCAGAAAAACCAAAATTCTATGGCCAAATGGGAAATATCATTGATCTATCACAAGTAGTTCCTATCAAATTAACTTGAGCAGAAAACTTAACAGTGAAAATTTCTTATTAATCGCTGGACTGTCACCTAAGAAGAAGGACCTCGAAATAGTTGTCAAACTGATATGTCCTGATAGTAATGCATCTTTAAAGAAAATATCATTGATCTATCACAAGTAGTTCCTATCAACATGATCAAACTGACTTAAGCAGAAAACTTAATAATTGTTGACACATCCTGAAAAGCAACACCTATGTCTCGCTTTCTGCGACTTTCGTTGTAGGTGAGACAAAAACAGGAAATCCTGTGAACTCAAATTAGAGAGACCAGCTGCCTAAACAGGGCAAGTGTCTGTGCATAAATTACCCAGGATGTTTTTGCCTTACAAGAATTATTGTGTTAAATTCCAATAGGATTGATTGAACATACCTTTAAAAGTTAAGAGTTAAAAAAAAAAAACAACGTTTCTTGAGACAGACAACAATGATGATGACACATCTATACCATGACATGAACATTTTGTACATCATGTACATGTATATGTAAAAAAGTCTCTAAATATTTTTCAAAAATAAAAAGTATTTTACCTATCTACATGTTCCCAATATTTTTTTATGCAAGGAGGCATAAATCATGATACCATTTTTATCAAATCAGATGTCAATTAGGGAAAAATATGTTTAAAATTTACAAGGATAAAAAACCCTTGAATACCAGTAAAAAAATATCCCACTGCAAAATGGTCTTCCCAGTTTTGATATCCCATGGCCAGTTATCCCTAAACCCTGTTTTAAAATCTTTTAACATAATATCTAAAAATACTGAAAATAAAATGACACAGACCATTTGATTAATACTCCACCGTTTTGAGAAATTCATTTCTTTCTTTTCCGAACTTTTTCTCTCAGTACATGTGAAGCTGTAAATGCAAAACAAATTGTTTAACAAAAATTTCAAAATGTGCTACATTGTATGTCATCATACGACATGTATGTACAACAAAGTCTATATGTTACATTTCTAATTTACATGAACTACTATTGTCCATATCATTAAAAAAAAATTTCAATATGTTACAAGTTCATTTTCACAAGAGAAGTTACAGACACTGCCAACATTGAAGTACATTTTATGTTAATATAACATAATTTATGCATAAAGATTGTTATTTTTTGTACATGTAATTTTACTTGTATTTCTTTACACTGAACATGTAAATTGATATTTCTCATTATCATGATTATTACAAAATACAAATAAATCCAGCACTGAAGTCAAAAATGTAAGCAAATAAAAAATAGAAACTGAAACAGACCAAATTGCTGCATTAATTGGGATCAGTTATTCTACCATAAGTGTGATCACCTGACACATTTGCTGCTTTCTTTGTGTTTGTAGCCATTTTTGAACATGTAGCACAGAACTCCAATGACACTGCATCTCCCGCTACATGAAGGCAAATTCCATTCATCAGATTTTCAGAGTTGCTAATTGTCTTATTTTCCTGATTTTCAGAGTGGCCTTGTCTCTTTTTTTCCTGATTTTCAGATTTGTCAACACTATTATTGCTTATATTTCTTGTAGATCTTCTTACACCTCTCTTCACATTAATAGAAGATTCTACATTTTCCCGATTTTCTTGGCTCGGGCTGTCATCAAATACTGAACTTTTACGTTTTCTAAAATTGGTATTGTCATTTTCGTCCTTGCTTACATTTGTGGGACATTTATTGCTAACATTAAATGAGGAATAAAATCGTACCCCAGGAGTTGAACATACTGAACCAATCAGTTTTGAAAGGGTGCTCTGATTAGCAATTACACCTTTGAGATATTCAACCTCAGCCACTAAATCAGACATTTCGGATTCCATTGACCCCATCTTTGACATCAAGTTTGAATTTTGGACATGCAATTTTTCGACACTTGCTTCCAAATTTGTGACATATTCCTTCTTCTTTTGTCGATTTTCTCTTGCAAGAATTGCATTTTTTGACATGCATGTAGTTTGTGATTTTAAATATTGTACAGAATATTTCATTGTGTTCGGCTCTGAGTGGTGTGAGGAACCTGTCAAATGAGTAATTAATTGTTCGTCTGATGTTGCATTTGTTTCACGTGTTCCATCGTTCACAAGTGTGTAATCATCTAAAATGCCCTCAAATAAATCATCACTAGAGCAAGATTTGGAATCAATTGTGATATTGTCATTGATAACAAAAGAATCTATATATGACATGATTGAAGCAAACCAGGGAGCTTAACAATTTACTGCAGTTAAGGTTAATTTAAAACCCTTTGTTTCTTTCCCGTGTCTGCATGAAAATGGCGTACCTTGTGGATGTGCTCGATTCGCTCTTCTGGACGCACCGACACATCAAGAGTTGTGAACCATTTTTAAATGGGGAACAGTTCACATCAACTGTCCAACTGGCTTGCTGAAATGTTTTCATATAAACTGTAATCTTAATGAAATCGTGGTATTCAATTTACATTTTTTTTTATTAATAGGAAAACGTGTAAAGAATACTTCAAACATAGCAAACAAACACGGCCTTTAATTCTAATATCACTAAAGACCAGTTGTGAATGTCTTTGTAGGGCGCACAGTGTAAAAAAAGGCCTCTATAGTTATCAATTTTAATTTCGACGGAGAGGTGTGTCAGAGACATATAATACAATATGTCTCTGGGTGTGTTCACGTTTATCCAACACTTGATAATTTGAGTAAAACAACATTAAGAAGGGGGTCCTCAAGGAATGGCATCTTGATATTTACCTGTAATTCACATGTTTCAGTTCTTAACTAAAATATTGTAAAAAGGTGTCTTTTTAAAGATATTTATCAAAACATTGATAAAACATATTCATTTTTTTACAATAATTAATTTATCATATATATTTTTGGTTGAATATAACCAGAACATGTTACGTAATTATTTTTGTCCGTGTATGAATTTTTCATATATTTTTTTAATAGTTTCCCAAGATTTTAAAAGTCAATATAATCTAGCACAGTCATGTAAATTTTGATTTCACTTTTTTCATATTTTTTTCTCTATTGTCCATTATAATGTATATTGTATTGATTACAATGTTGTGATCTTGAAAAAAAAACATTTTATATTCTGCTTATTATCAAAGATGTAGAATATTTAGATTTCTTAAAAAATCTTCCGTGACAAATCGAGAATAATTAAGTATGTTTTGTTAATGTTTTTATAAATATCTTTAAAAAAATTCCTCTTTTTACAATATTTTAGTTTAGAACTGAAAAAGGTAAATTACACAAATTACAGGTAAAAATCTAGATGTCAGTCCTTAAGTGGAGCCCTAAAGTCCATAATGGTATTTTAGTCTAAATATCAAATGTTGGATAAATATAAACGTGAATAAACCGACGGCGAGGTGTTTAACGACATTGACTACCCATGCGGGTCTCGCACGGTCGGTGAATGGTGACTAAGTTTTATTTGCCAAATTATAGGAAATCATTATATTTTGCAATCATGAGGGTCGTATTCAGTTCCCGAGGGTCTGGATTGGGGCCCTATATTTCTGTAATCTTCAATCTTTTAGGCAATTTTTCTCTATTCTTTATATACTTTTTGCCCATTATTCTCTATTTTTTATATTACAGCACCTCATTATTCTCCAAGGATTTGTATAGTAAGACTACACAAATCCTTGTTATTCTCTATTCCTTATTAATTTTTTGGTCAATTTTACTCTATTCTTTATATTTTTTGCCCATTATTCTCTGCTGTAAACCCCCATCCACACCCTCATATATATATATATATTTGTATATGGTGTCTTTGTCTCCACATGCCGTACTCAGTGTACTGTAGTGGATTCTAACATGAACAATTAAATTATTGCGCTCTCTGTTGGTGGTTAAAATACATTACTTTGAAATACAAATACAAATATAAATACAAATATCTTATTGGCACAAACACAATTACAATAATTGGCAAAGGCCCATATTTCAGTACATTATAACAATGAATACAGCATAATGAAATAATATGTTATAATTAAGAAGCTAAAATCTCATTTCTATATACCAGACATTTATGTATATAAGAACTTGTCACTTTCAGGACTTTTAAAGAGTTGCTATTAATGCAACGTTTCATATTTACCAGACTCTCACTACAACTTGTAGGAAGTATATTTAATATAATAGTTTTAAAGTTTATTCTGTAGTTAAAAAATTTTTCACAATTCAGTAAAAAGTGATTTTCATCTTCTACCTCACCCGATTTACATATATTACAAACTCGTTCATTGGTGGGTAAACCTAAATATCGCCCTTTTTCTATAGCAAGATTGTGTGCGCTCAATCTTATTTTACACAGAGATGACCTTTCTAATCTATTACTTAGAACATCAACATAAGAACTACGCTGATTTGAATTATGAAATTGTTGATAAAATTTTAGTTAGGATGAATTGTAAATTTTTGAAGATTGATATTGCGTGCACTGATCAATCACTCGTTGTTTAATACTTGGTAGATATTGTTTAATAGAAAAGTTTCCCCCAGCTAGGTTTGAAAATCCTAGATTGTTTAAAATAGAATAAAGTTTCATTGTCCAGCTGGGTTATTTTTTTCAGTTGCCAGAAAAAATTTGGATACAAGTGTGTTTTCAGGCCTTAAAATATGTTCAAAAAATTTAATAGAAGAAAAATGAGATTTTTTACCACAATGGTAGCCTGCCAAGTTCAGCTCTACAAGCAGCATTAATTGCTTTGCAATGTACACCTAGAATTTCTTTTATGAACTTCATATGGAATTTTTCCAAAATGGAATTGTCTCCCGAATTATCAAAAACACCCCAAACCTCACTACAATACAGCAAGATGGGACTTACTAATGAATCAAATAATTTTTCTAAAAGTTTACAAGGATTATCCAATCCAATTGTTTTCTTAATCTTAAAACATGCTTTCCTAGCTTTTTCCATTAGTAAGGATACAGCTAAATTAAATTTGCCATTACACTTTAACATTATTCCCAAGTAACAATATTTTGAGACGGTTTGTATGGCATTATCATAATGAATAAACTCATTTAAATGTGTTTTACCATTAGAATTAAATACTAATACCTTTGATTTTTGTACATTAACATGTAGTTTCCAATTCGAGCAATATGTACCAAGAATATTGAGGTTTGTAAACCAGTTTTGCTTCCTGATAGTAATACAATATCATCAGCATATAATAAACAATTTACAGACAAATCACCAACTCTAACTGGCTCACAGTTATCATTGATTAAATCTTTTACGACATCATCAATAAAAATATTAAAAAAGTGTGGGGCTTAAAATATCCCCTTGTTTAACACCACGCTCTGAAGTAAATGCAGTGCTAAGACCATTTGAAAATTTAATTCTAGTGGTAGTATTTGCATACATAGCAGATAAAATATTGAAAAGTTTTTTTGGTAAACCTGATTTTAAAAGTTTATAAAATAAGCCTACTCTCCATATGGTATCAAAGGCTTTACGCAGGTCTATGAAAGCAGCAAATACTTTCTTCTTTTTACTTTTATAGTGATCAATAATGGTTTTTAAAGAAAATATATGATCCGCAGTTCTACAATTTTGTTTAAATCCTATTTGATTTTGACTGATAAGAGATATGTTATTAACGAATTTCAATAATCTTGAATGAATGACTCTATAAAAAAGTTTTCCCAAGTTAGAAGTGATAGAAATGCCCCTATAATTGCTAGGGTCCATTTTGCTACCTGATTTGTGTAAAAGGACTAAGAAACTATCATTCCATTTATATGGGAATTGGCCAATGTTTAGAATAAAATTGAACAGCATTTTGAGAGGATTTAATATACCGTGTCCTCCATATTTAAGCATTTCATTTGATACCAAATCCATTGCAGTACTTTCCCCATTTTTAAGAGCTTTAATCGCCTTAATTAGTTCTCCTTTAGTAATATCAATGTCTAAAATATTATTACATGAGTCATTATCTAAATTATGTTTTAATTGCTGGAAATGTTCCATTATGGTTTTATGGAAATTACCATAGTTATCATCACTTTTGTTTAACTTTTTAAAGAATTGAACAAAATTGTCATAAGGTATATCATGTAGGGAGTCAGAATTGGCATGCATTTTATCTAACTTATTTAACATTGCCCAAAATGTTTTTGGGTTCTTTTCAATATTATCATTTATATTATTACAAATTTGTTGTTTATACATTTTTTGTTCATGTTTACAAAGTCTTCTGAATTTTGATCTATATGTATAACAAATGTATAATATAGTTTTCTATATTGTCCATTTTGTGGATTTTTATTAACCAATTTCTCATAGCTTTTAACTGTATTTCTTAAGTCAGTACAGGAATGTGAAAACCATGGTTTCCTGGTTGATTTTCTCAGTTTTTGTATGGGCTTTTTATTAATAAATTTAGCTGATTGTTTAGCACAGTCTAGTAAAATTGAATTAAATGACTCAGTAATCGAGTCACTGTCATTGAAGCTTTTGGCTATAAAATTTGCAAATTTATCTTTAAACATTTGACTTTGCATATTTTCTGTGTATGAAGCAATTGCTTCATCAGTCCAAAGAAATTTTCCCGGCAAGGAGTCTAGTTTGTGTAAATCACAAGCCTTAGGCACGGATGAAAAATTGGCAAACATTGCACAACTAATTGGGCGATGGTTAGAAAGGGAAGTAAAATCATGAACTACAAAGTATCCTATTGAATCAATTAATTCTTCTGATGTAAGTGTGTAATCTACAAGGCTACTACCATTGTATGTTATACAAGTTGGTTGACCATTTAAATCACCAGTAGTTCGACCATTTAAAATTCTGATTTTGGTTTCTTTGCACATATTTAATAATAATTTGCCACTATTGTTAGTGTGTTTGTGGTCAAGATTATTCCTTGACAATGTCATATCAGGATGATATTATGAATCATCTAAGTTTACATGTTCAGTAACATTATCAAATTCAATAAAATCAAGTTGGGTATTCGTCTAGGCACTAAAGTCAATCACCTTGTATAATGATGTCACCCATACTACTATACTTTTCTACTTCACTGAGCAGAATTGAGTATATTGATTCTATATCATTATTATTATGACTTGAATACTCAGGAGATATATAATCTACAGCTACAAAAACATCTCTACTAATACGAAAAAACATATGATCTAGTTTTATCCAGAGTATATCAGGATGACTGTTTGTCAAAGATTTCACTCCTTTGGAAATTGAACTTTTTGCAAAAATATTTATTCCTCCAGAATATCGTCTTGCTTTTTTATGTTTTTTCCTGCTACTAGAATGAAC